TGTACTTCCGATTTGATTTGAAACTGTCTCATTGCTATCTGTTTATCAATAAAACTTTGAAAAAAAAAAAAAAAGAAATGTAACTTCCTAGGGGACTGAAGTGGTCTCCTGATAAAGTATCTGCTTGAGAAGTCAGACAGTGAGCATATATTATCGAGTGGGCATAGACTCTGAAAGTTTATTCAGGCCAGTGTTTGACCCAGCGAAGCATCCCTGAGCCATATCAGCATAACTCTAGTGACAATAAGTCTCTTGTATCTCTGCCCCCTGGCTGCAGCCCCTGTGTCCCAAATAAGAGCTAGACTAATTCCATGCTGCTGCTAGGTTAACTCTCTTGTTAGTGTGGTCTTCGCTCAAGCTGAGTGTGACTGTCTAGGCCATGGCTTTGGACTACAGTACCTTTCCCTGCTCTTCCGGTCTTGGAGCGGTTGCTTAGCATGGGCTACACTTGCAAGTAAGTGAACTCATGTTCCTGTTCCTGCTCTTAGATAGTGGCCTCAAAAGTTAATCACCACCTAATTTGGCTTTGCTGTTATTGCAAATTATTGTACCTAAAGTATAATCGGGGAGTAAGTTTACCTGATTTGCTAGTCCCAGATTTTGCTTTGAGATAAGCTTATAATCTCCCTTGGAGGTAGTTGAAATTCATAAATGAAAAGAACTTTGATAAGAACAATAGAGGACAAACTAAAAAGTAAAATACAGCTATAATACTGTATCAGATAGGTCTAATATATAGAAATTTGTAGAAGAGGATTTTATAGAATAAAAATGTGAAAATTTTATTTTCCCCTAAGAGTCTTAATATAGCTCAGAATAGTAGAATACAAATATATCATGGGTTTTTTTTTTTCAGTAAACTCTTGATAGTTTTCATTGAGTGAGAAAAAGCATGAAGTTGGGTGTGGTGGCGCACACCTATAATCCCGGCACTCAGGAGGCTGAGGCAGGAGGATCACTTGTGAGTTTCATGGGCAGCCCAGGCTACATAGCGAGAGCTTGTCTCAAAACAAAAAGAAAGAGAGAAAATGAAATATACTTTATAAATATAGGTGAAAGAACTAGAAGCATAGAATGCAACTGCAAATAAGCATAATTTAATGTTCACTCTATTCTAACTTTGCAGGCTTTATTTCTCATTCCTTCTCCCTGGTGGAATTGAAGTTCATTTATCATCACGTGCTCCCTGACCTGTCGGGAAAGGTCTTGGTGGATGTTGGCTCCCGACTTGGCGCAGTCCTCTATGGGGTAAAGTCCAGCTTATGGGCATACTCAACATTTGGAAAATACGTTCTTCTACTGCTAGCAGCAGCTTTGCCGGCTACCGCCCAAGGTGACAGCTTGGCTTTATTGATGAACTAGCAGAATAGGGTTAAAATGCTGTGATGTAGGTGGGCTCCTAAATTCTATTTGATGGGAGACGTTGGGTGGGGAATTTTGAAGAGCAGCTGTCTGGTTTCTCTTTGTCTCTGCAACAAAATGAAGTGCACATACAAAAGAGAAGTATGGGACTCAAAAGAGAACTGTGGGACTTGTAACACGTTGCTGTGTTGTGGCCAGTAGTGTTTTCTAACCTTTTCTCATTTGTACTGTACTAAAGTAAAACAGTACACTGGGCTTTCACAAGAACTCTTATGAAGCTGATAGATTTGCCTGACTTAGGAGGTCGCCTTCAGCCGCTAGCAAGTTACCTAATGCCTAATTCCTTCTCGATAAATGAGTAACAAAATGATGTCTAAGGACACACCGTGTTCCAATTTCTGTGATCCAAGCTTTGAACGTGGATGTCTGTTTCTAAAACATTACTTTAATGTGGCCTTTTGAAAAACTTCACATCCTGAGTATTTCTAAGTTCTTAAATGGCTTTATCAAAAACCCAAAGGGTGGTTTCTGTGTGTCTTTAGCAGACTTGTTAAAACATGTGGCCACCAGCAGTTGAGGCTCATGCCAGAAATGGGCACTGTTTCTTCCCGGTGTTACTGCCTGCTTTACACAAAAGCAGTTAACTCTTTAATGCTGGATTTATTTTTCAGTGTTAGATTTTTATTCTGTAATTAGGAAAAATAGCCATAATAGAAAATGCGCAGTTTGCACCGTGGGTTTTGGTAATGGTGGTAATGGTGCACTTTTCTTGGGACCAGGTCTCACTAGGTTACCCAGCCTGGCCTCTCACTCCTGGGCCATCCTCCTGCCTCCGCCTCCTGAGTAGTGGGATTATAGACATGGGCCACCCTGCCCAGCATGGTTGGTGGTTTTATTTAGAGGAACTTTGGAGATTATGACTGCCTACTACATTTGGCCCACCCTAGTCAACTTTCTGATTTATTAAAGAATTGTCACACGGAAGTAATTGTGGCTCTGCAGAAAGGGTATCAGTGATGATAACCAAATGATTGACATATTTCTCCATATTAAGCCACTGCGCCAGTCAAAAAAATTTGGACTGCCTACTTATGCAACGTTAAACACATTCTAAAAATCCATGGCAGAAGCTGGGCGTGGTGGTACATGTCTGTAATGCCAGCACCCAGGCAGGCTGAGGCAGGAGGATAGCAAGTTCAAGCCAGCCCAGACAACTTAGTTATTTAGCAAGATCTTGTCTCAAAATAAAAAACAAGAAATGAAAAGCTCTGGGGATATGACTGTCAAGCCCCTCAGTTCAATTCCCAGTATTTAAAAAAAATTTTTTCTTTGTTTTTTAAATTCCATGATGGTGCTCAAGATACAGGTTTGGTTTTTTGTATCATCAATTTTATTATTGTAAACAAAAGTATATATACAGCAGCACATAGTTAATTCTTGATTATCTTTATTAACTACTTGGTTGATTATCTGTGGCAAGTTCCCAGATACAGGGTTGAGTTCCTGTAAGTCAGCCGGTGTGTACCCAGGGCCACCCGTACCTAGCCTTAGGCTGTGCGTGGTTGTTCCTTCAATTCCTCAGAGGATAATGCCTTTCTAGCATTCCTCTCACAACTTCTCAATAAATCAAAGAAGTTGGATTTTAGAGAATCTTCTTGTCACTTTTCTCACTTCTAATTTTGTGTAGTGCCCAGTTTGATCAGGAAAAAGAACTCGGTCTCTAAAAATATAGCCATGTGGTGGCAATTAATAAACTATAATCAGGATGTTGACCAGTATGAATAAAGTTCTGGAGGTTGTAATTTTATATAAACTACAAGATCTTATTTATCTTTTTTTAACTGTGTTTGATATTTTTTAAAATGTTGACTTTTAAACTTTCATTAGAAATGAACTAGTTTATTTCTAATGAAATTTTTTAATTAAAAGTTGATTAATTTGTGCTGTAATGTGTCTTCCTTTCTAGGGTTACCTTTATAGTTCTGCAGTGCAGCTGTATGGAGTAGAACTGAATGGAGATTTTTGCCAGTTACAGGAAATGGTCATTAACAAATATCATTTTGGTGACAGAATAAAGGTACTCTTCTTTTTAATTTTTGTTGCTATTAGTACACATCTGTAGTGCCTAACGATCCCACACATCACGGGCAGTGGACTCGTGTGCACGCCACCTCTTAATTCTTTTCTCATCTCCTGCCCTTCCATTTCCTCCCTCTTTCATCCTCTTCCCATTTACAAAAAAAAGATCCTTTTTTATTTTTTGTTACCCATCCTAACTTAGCTAAACCTCTTCTGCATTATTTTCTAACCTGTTCTTGTTTGCTGCTGTGTAGAAATAGATTGAGTTGACCTAATTTTTTTAAGTGGTGACAGAGTTTGTTTGAAAAAGTCAAAGTGGAGAGCGAAGGAGAAACTGGCTCTGCAGAGAGTGTGGGCTGAAGAAAAGTGCACCCTGGAGGACACGGCAGGCTGTCATGAGGATGGCCTGATGGACCCAGTTGTCTTAAAGTGTTAGTATGGATAATTGTAATAATAATATCCAGGCACATATTTTTCTTTCTCCCTAAGTTTTTTAGAAAGTAAATTTTTTTCTTTCTTTTCATTATTATTGTTTTGTGTTTTGAGACAGGATCATGGTGGCCTGGAACTTACTACTGCAACCCAGGCTGACCTCGAATTTGCAGCAGTCCTCCTGCCTCAACCTCCCAAATGCTGGGATTACAGGCATACACTGCCATGCCCACCTTTGTGTTTCCTCTACAATGACTATAATTTTGGTAGTAGCCTTTTTAAACTTTAGGGGATGGATAGAAATGTGTGTATATATTTTGGTTTTTTGAGTTTTACTATGTAGTTCAGGCTGGCCTTGAACTCACTATGTTAGTGCAGCCTGCCCTCAAACTCTGGCGATCCTCCTGCCTGAGCTCCTGCATGTTGGGGCTACACCTATAGGGCCCCTTACCTGGCCCAGAAATGTATTAATTAAGCTGTAAATGTTGAAAATAAATAAAAGGTCAGTGTGATACTCACAGTTCTTTATGGTTTCCTAAACTTTCAGAGCATATAATAGATGGCACAGGATCACGGTTCCTGGGGAAGGAGGCCTTGGCTTAAGCCAGTAGTGGCAAACCTATGAAGTGTGTGATATGTCTTGTTTCTCTTTTAAGACAAAAGATGTTAACGTATGAGTTTTTTTCTAAACTAAAACCTGAGTATTTAGGTTTAATTGCAGTGTTAGCATTTTGTGATAAATCAGTAGGTTGGGGTTGTAGTTTGGGAACTCAGTCTCTAAAAGGTTTGCCATCCTGGGGCTAGCTAGCTAGGCCTGGTGGTACATGCCTGTAATCTCAGCACTCTGGGAAGCTGAGGCAGAAGGATCGCAAGTGCGAGCCCAGCCTGGGCTGCTTAGTGACTTAGTAAGACCCTGTCCCAGAATAAAAAGAGCCAGGGCTATGGCTCAGTATGAGAACCATGGGCCCCGCTTTTCTCCTTTTTTATACAGAAAGCTTTTTTCTCCTATCCCTTCTTTCCACATCTCCATTTTAGACATTGAGAAATAAACAATGAGAGTGAATTATTCAATAAAGTCATAGGTTTTTCTTGTTGTCCCATATGTAATAAACTATAACACAGTGCTCCTACGTAAGTGACAGTCACATAACAGGAATATATATATTAGGGTTTTTTTAAAGCCACTCAAATTTAGCAGTGAGGGGTATGTATATTAGGACCTATTAACAATCATGGTTTATAAATGGTTAATCAGATGTTTTCTTGTTTTAGAGGTAGTGATAATAAAATATAAAAATACATAAAATATATAAATACATTTCAAAAATTTAAATTTTTACCCTTTGTAAAAAAAATTACACAGGGAGCAGGGGAGATATGTTGGTCGCATAAGCACCTGCTGGCAAGTGCAAGGCCCCAAGTTTGAGCCCATGTGCCAGTGCCCTGCCAGCCCCAGGCCCTCAGATGTGCTACACCAGCCCTGACCTGGGCGTAGTGGTGCATCCCTGTAATCCCAGCACTGGGAGAAGGATCACTACGAGACCAAGCTGCATAGCGAGACCCTGTGGCCCCCCCCAAATAAAAAATTACACAAGTACGCACTCAGCCACACACTTCGCTTGGCTGTGGCTTTCGTTGCCATCAGCAACCCTATGATAAAAGGCAATGCCATCTTATGATGACTTAAAGCTACAGAGGAAAGGGGTTAGAGAGTTGGGCTTCTCTACCTCCTGGATGCGTGTTTGCCTCGTTCTTTTGCCAGCAGGACGTTCCCTTTTGTTCAGTGAGGCCTTCTTCCGCCACCCTGATTCTTTTTTGTTTGACCCTCACCAGAGAATAAACCTCTTCTTTTGTTCTTAAGCAAATAAATATGTCCTCATATTACCTGACCTCCGATTGGCAAGGCTTGAGTCTGTCAATTTTTGAGGTAGATAGTTCTGTGGGTTTTTTCCTTAATCATCTTGCTTTTTTGCATGGATAATACATTCAAGTGAATTTTAAAGGAAGAGTCAGACAAGACCAGTTAATATAGTGTATTAATGTTTTACAAATTTATAATGTTTTATACTTGTATGTCTGTTTTTAGGATTTTTATGTTTCCATTTGACTCTTTGAATCAGGACAGATATTCCATTTCATTTATGAAATTTATACTAAGAGTACAAAACTAGTTGCTAACAGAACCGTAGTTTGAATTTACACCCTTTCTAACTCTTACAACTTATGATAAAATTACAGTGAAAAAAATCTGAACTCAGAGTTAAGAGAACACAGTTATGACTAAATAACTATTTTAAACAAATCTTCACAAGTTTTTGTGTTTAACTATACATTACATACCCCCCTGTAGGCCTGAATATGCTGTTATTTCTCCCAGTCACACAAGGGTCAACCTCCCATAATGCTTCACAGCAGCAGTGAACCAGCAGTGCTGCTTTGCCGAGTGTGATACAGTGCCCTTGTTCTCTTACATGAACTCATTCCTCCTCTGCAGGTGATCCACGCAGACATCTGTACCCAGGGTTTGCTGCTGCACAACGCCGATGTTGTTATAATGAATAATGTCTTTGAGTATTTTCTTAATGAGACAGAACAGGCCAGGTATGTTATTTATTCAAGAAATAATCCATTGCTAAAATATATCCAGACAAGATACGGAAAAAGATTATGCTGGTAGAAGTCTTTTCCTATTAAAATTGTATGTATGTATGTATATATGTATGTATCTGGTACAGGGTCTCACTACACAGCTTGGACTCGTAGTGATCCTCCTGTTTTTAGCCTCTCCAGCACTAGGATTATAGGTGCACTTACCACAACACCCAGTCTCAGTGGCCAGCTCAGCCCTGGGGCAGGGCCAGGGCAGCATGTGTGCCAGGGATTGATGTGTGCAGGAATGGGCCGTGCACTTGCCTAAGCAGGCACTTAGTCCAATGAGCTATCCCATTAGCCCTCTCCTATTAACTTTTTAGAAAATAACCTTAACTGTGAGGTGATTATTTAAATAAGGAAATGTCTTTTGTCTGCTATACATATATGCATGATAAGAATAAAAACAAACTTTAACTTTGTAAAATATTACATCCAATTTTTTTGGAAGATATAAAACTATTGCATGACTCAAATACTTGCTTATCAGCCATGGATACAATTAGAAAGTAATTCCCAGTGGTTCTTTATACGTCTTTTATACTTCAGTTTCCTTTTCTGTGAACTAACATATTGCTGTTATATCACAAAATAATGGAAACCAAGTAAGGGCTATAAATGAATTTAAAACAAAATATAGGAGTGTTAACCTAGGAAACTGATTATCAAACTTAAAATACTTAATAATAGTAGTTCCCTAGAGGAGTGTCTTAATTTTCTTGTTGTTCAGACAAAATATACCCAAAGTTAAATGAGGAAAGCTTTATCTAGCTCACCGTTTGTAGAGATTTCAGTTCATAGTTGGCTGGCTCACGGCAGGATGGCAGGGCGGAGGGCCATCGCGGTAGAGAAACAGCTCATGGCAGGCAGAAGGCAGGAAGGCAGTAAAGTAGCAAGGAAGCAAGCAGCGAGCAGCAGCAGCAGCCCTCTTTCTGTCCTTTATATGCTATCCCAGCTACCTGCCCTTAAAGCGAGTAGCGCTCCTCCTCAGGGTGTCTACATGTGAACCTATGCCAGGCCCATCATTGGCCTATTTAGTAATCACACACTCTTGGCCCCAGCACAGTATGTTCTATGTGCAGCCCCACGTAGGATCTCATAAGGCTTTGGGTAGACAGAAGCCATAACACTGGTTATGGTGGCACCCCACGCTTGGGAGACCGAGGCAAGAGGATCGCAGTGAGCTCAAGGCCAGCCTGAACCACAAAAACTTTTTAAACAGTAGTAGTAGTAGCAGCAGCAGCAGCTTCCTGAAGTTTACTCCACTTTTCAGGAACTGTAAAAACATACAAACCTGTGATCACTTTTCTGATTCCTCTTCTCTAACTGATGCTTTATAGCCCATCAGGACCTATAGGATCATTCTAATTAGAAAATTCCTGTAGTGTGCTCTGAGATACTATTCTTCTGGCCAGTTAGGCTTGCTGCTTTCTAATGGGTCATAGAAGTTTATGAGTACTTCAGATGGAGGAGAGCCCTTTTCCATAGATATGAAAGGGAATTGCACTAACATGTTTGCATTAGCGCATCCATAAGTAAGGTTTTCACTGCACAGAAATTAAAATGCACAGAATTATAAACCAAAATGAAATTCTGAATAGTCAAACCTCCTTGTTGTACTATTTCACATCTTCACCTTCTTTTTTTTTTAAATGTATTTGGTACTGGGTGTCACTGAGCAGCTCGGACTTCTAGTGGTCCTCCTGTTTCAACCTCCCCAGCACGAGGATTACAGCCATGTGTCACTGCGTCCAGTCTTGGTGGCTGGCTTAACACCTGGGGTGGGGCCACGTGCTGGCATAGCATATGGTACTGGAGATCAAACCTGGGTCCTTGCGCTTGCCTAGGCAGGTGCTTAGACCACTGAGCTGTCTCCGCGGCCCACACATCTTCACCTTCGATACATTCTCTCTGTGTCTGTCCGTCTCTCTCTTACATACATACCAGTTACTACAAGGTTAAAGTCACTATAAAATGAACAGTTGAAACAATTTAAAAAAGGAAGCAATTTCAACAGAAAGCTAATTATAGTTTAGTAAGAATGGGTGATGATTTTTCAGTTATATACTATCAGAGGCCCTTTTTTTTGTGGTACCAGGAATCGAACTCAGGACATCGCACTTGCCAGTCAGGCTCTTATACCACTGAGCCATGTCCTTAGCCCAGTCAGTCATGTACTAAACACCAGCAGCACAACATAAGCAAAGTTGTTTTCATCATAGTGCCTTCTTTAAATGTAATTTCCAATGGATAAAATAGGATTAGCCAGGATGGTGGCATGTGCCTGTGATCCCAGCATTCAAGGATGCTGAGGCACGAGGATCGTCACATTGGTTCAAGGCCAGGCTGGGCTACATAGCAAGTTCCAGACCAGCAAGACCCCTGTCTCACAAAACATAACAACAAAACAAAACTTTTGCTCTATTTCTAATGTTGACAAAGTTTCCCATTTATTAAAAGTATGGAAAACCAGAAGGGTAGGGGAAGATGGGCTCTGCAGAGTAAGTGTGGTCTAAGTAAACGGGAGGAAAAGCCAGAAATACACCTACAGTGCAGGGCGGACTACCGTGGAAAAGCACAGCAGCCTCACCTGTGAAATTCATGACAGTAGCCAGAATATAGCACAGTTATTTAAAAAAGTGAAGAATGACAAAATTTATGTTTTATTGGAAGTTGAAAGAGAAAAATACCTTACATTCCTTGGAGATTCATTATAGAAAGATGAATGTTGAGGGAAGAAAGAAAGCTACTAGTGAACTTGTCACAGGAAGCACTACATATTTATGTTGTTCCAAAAATCTTCCTTGCTTCATCTACTCCTGAACTCTGTGTGACTCACTCAGTAAGTGTTGAACACATGACAATTCAGTCACGTCTCCTAAGATAGTGTAGTGCAATAAATCCTAAATATACCAACATTATAGTCTCTTAGGGTTAATTATTTGTGAATGGTAATATACAGAGGTAAGTTTAGATAGAAGATATGCTAAAGCATTCTGATACTGGAGTCATTCTGACAAAACTGATCACTTATCTATAATTAATTTTATAATGAGTGCAAGAACAGATGGTGCAACATATTTTCCTCGAAGGATTTATAATGTTCCTTGTTTAGTTTTGGGCTGATTTTGTTGTTTGAAATAAGGTCTAACTTTGTAGTTCAAGCTGGCCTTGAACTGACTAAGTAGCCCAGACTGGCCTGAAAATCCCAGCAGTCCTCCTGCCTCAGCCTTCCCAGTGCTAGGGTTATAGGTGTGTGGCGCCATGTCCAGCTTCAAGATTTATAATCCTAACTGGAGTCTGAGGATAAGTGGAATAATATTACCATAAGAGTTAGTATATAAGAGAAAACCCAAGAAAGGCTCAAGCTTTAGAATAAGGCCAATCTCATTACAGGGAAATATCTCAGGTTTATAGACAATTTTTAGTGGCTTGCTTTGGTTTGTTGTTCTTGTTTTGCTTTGGCTTTTTTGAATGCGTGATTGAACCTAAGACTTCAGCCTTTTTGGTGGTGTGAGATAGGGTCTTGCTAAATTGCCTGGGCTAGCCTTGAATTTGTGATCTTCCTGCCTCAGCCTTTGGATGGGATTATAAATATACACTACTACACCCAGCTAGAGCTGCCTTTTAAGCTAAAAGTTGTAACTAAGCATAGTGGCACCTGCCTGTAATACCAACTACTTGGAAGTCCAAGGCAGAGGATTAAGAGTTTAAGGCCAGCCTTGGCGATTTTGTGAGACCTGTCTCAAATAACATACAAAAAAGACTCGAGATGTAACTGAGAGGTAGAGTGCTTGCCTAATGTGTGAAAGACTCAGTCCATTTTTCTACACTGAAAAAAAAAAAAAAAATCTGCATTTTATCAGTAAAACGGACCTAACTACTAGTGGCAGCCCATGAAAGACTGTGCCAATATACTTGGCTTCTTCCTGTATCAAGTAATTCCATAAAGTATGTCTTTTTTTTTTCCTTTTTTTTTTCTTCCTATTTTTAGGACACGTTTTACAGGGTCTACAGGGTCTCACTATGTAGATTGGATTCTTAGTGATCCTCTTGTTTTTAGCCTCCCAAATGCTGGGATTAGAGGAGTGCACCACCACGCCCAGTCTCAAGTATGTCATTTTTAGGACACAAAATAGCCCGAGTCATACACAGTGACATTTAACTGCTATCTGACTTTTATCTTCAGCCTAATTAAAAGAACATTTTATCACTTTGTTAACCCACTCCAGAGCTTCCTACGTGAAGTAACCATTGCTATGACTATACTTAGTGCTGGTGATGCCCCTGCCCCCCATGCTGCAAGGGGTGCCTTCCTCTGCATGGCTTTGTCCTTGTTCACAGGTGGCAGGAGTCCCTAGACACACGCAGTGCAGAATGCAGCTCACATCCACACTACAGGCTGCACAGACCTGCCCTTTGGCACATGTGCATACGTGCCCTTGGCCTCTGTCCTGTTCTAAAGCTGGCTAACCCCATTGATGTTACGCTAGAGGTCGCCCCAGGGAGTAGTTCCCACAGCCACATTGAGTATGACAGGCCTAATCTACGCGTTCTACTCTTGTTGATAGCCTTTGGTCTCTGGCCTCTCTGCCTCTTTTTGTTCAGGATTTCTGCAGCCTTGGCCTCCAGGCAGTCTCAACCCTGTTCCAGTCTAGAACCAATTCTATGTACTTCATAAATAATTTACGGGGCCTGAGCTGCTGACCCTGCTTTGACTTGTACATTGGTTCTGAAAATCAGCTTGTGGACTTACAGTACTTGTAGTAACCTGAATCCCCTTCTTGTTAATCTCAGTACTTTGACCACAATTTTGTCAACACTCCTTTAGGAACTAGAGAATTTGCCAACTCCAGTATGTTGCTTCAGTACTGTTTCCTGTGGGCAAAAATTTTTGCCCATCTAGATTTTTAACTCTCCCTGGTGCTGCATTTTTTTTCTTTTTTCATTCTGTCTCCATCTCTGTCTCTATCTGTCCCTCTCTCTCTCTCTCCCTCCTTCTCCTCTCCCTCTCTCCTTTCTTCTTCCTCCCTCCCTCCTCTCTCTTGACTTTTTAGTGTCTGGTAAAATCTAACATAGCAGGATTTTTGTTGTTGTTGCTTTGTCGAGCTTTGTTTTTTAACCTGGGTGACAGATATATTGATTCAGGTATGCTTTGGAGTCAGAGTTTGGGTGTTTTGTTTGTTGTTATTGTTATTGACTATTTTCCTAGTGCAGTTTTAGGTTCACAGGAAAATTGAAAGAAATAGATATTTTCCCTATACTATACTCCCACAGATGCATAGTTTCCTCCATTACCAGTGTTCCCCAGTAGAGTGATCCATTCATTATGATGCATGAGTCTGTGACACTGTATTCACCCAAAGTCCATAGTTCACACTAGGGTTCACTCTTGGGGTACAGCCTGTGGATTTGGGCAGCTGTATGGTGGCATGCAGCCACCATTAAAGTGTCACACCGAGTATTCCCATTAAAAATCCCCTGTGCTCTGCCTGTTCATCCTTTCCCCTCCATTCACTCCTGGGTCTTTTTACCTCTCCGTAATCTTGCCCTTTCCAGGATATTGTGTTTCAGATTGGTTTCCTTTCTTGTAGTAATGAGCATTTAAGCTTCCCTCACGTCTCTGTCCCTAGAGCTCATTTCTGTTGCATGGGGGACACTCCACCACCACCTGGGTATACCTCAGAGTATCAGCTCAGCTACTCAAGAACACTTTGGCCACTTCCAATTTCTGGCAACTAAGAGAATCTGCTGTATACATTCATGTGCAGATTCTTGTAAACAACACATGTTTTCAACTCTTTCAGGTAAATACAGGGAACATGATAGCTAGATTGTATGCTAAGAGCATATTTAATTTTATAATTAAATTTAAAAATGTATAATTTTATAAGGAACCACCACACTTCCAGAGTGGCTACTTTTGCATTCCCATGTGTAATGAATGAGATTTCCCACTGTTCCACAGCTTTCCCAGCATTTGTTGTTCTGGATTTTGTCCTTTCTGATGGGTATGGAGCAATGTCTCATGGTTATTTCAACATAACAGTTTTTATGTATTGTAGTGCCTGGGAATATATCAGCCATAACCTGAGGAAGCCAGGATCGTTATTAGTGACAGTGCCAAGTCTTGAAGATTCTCTCTCAGGACTTCAGGTATGTCAGCCAACTCCACAGTCAGTCAGTCTGTCTGTCTGTCTGTCTGTCTGTCTGTCTGTCTGTCTGTCTTTCTTTTTTTTGGCGGTACCAGGGATTGAACTCAGGTCCCTGCGCTTGCCAGGCAGGCGCTTATTCTATTGAACTATCGCCCGTGCCCTCCACAGCATTCCCACTGTCAAAACTTTCTGCTAATTCTTTCTCATAGTGATTACAGTAAGTATTCTAGCAATTTTCTGTCTGGAAATAGTGACAAGTGATAGAATATCAAGACCTTCTTGCTTAAGCACTGGTTTGTGGTTTGTGTCCTGGCCTGAAAGACTGAAATTGCAGAGCTTATATGGATATAAATTCACTTGGTTTCTCTACTTAATCTTTTTGTGAGGTCATAGTTTTTAGGTTAGCAAACATTACTGAACATTTTTAAGAGCTTTGGAATACCCATGTTGTAACTGTGTCCCTTAGAATAAGAGGAACATAGTTGTTCCAGGCTTCTGAAACCAAATGAGCCAATTATAATACTGCCTACTATGTACAACTTGGCCTCTTAGTCACGTAGGAATCTT